GTGGTTTCATGATCATCAGCTTGAGGGCAGGGGAAGAGGCCTGGGTGATAAATCTAGATTCCCTCTAACTTTCTTTTCTATGAGCCCATTCATGACGACTTGGAACAAATTCTAGTACACATTTTGAAATCCACCAAAATGCAGGCCAGACTCCTCCCTAGTGTCTACCCCCAACCCACACATGCTCTGTCTTGTAGCCTTGGCCCTAAGCCATGGTTTGTGTAAAATGGCCTCAAATTTAATTTCCACTTAGAGTTTAAATGTTTCTCTCTTCAATAATGAAATATGGGCAGTTCATTCCAGAGAGCTGTAGAGTGTCAGTCTTTAAGGTCAAGAACTTTTATCCTTCTTTTACAAGCTGACAGCAAATGAAAAGAGTTTGTTTCACCAAAAGGGATACCAAGGTAATTTGTGAAGACCTGACCTCATTAAAATATTCTTGAAATGTGACCAAAAAGGAAGAAACATCTAAGTAAACTGTTGGAGGCCTATCCTATGTCAAAAAGTGGCCTCAAAGCAGTATTATTATCACTTCCATTTTATGAAAAAGGGCCCTGAGACTTATAACAACTTCCCCAGGATTATACAGCTGTAATCAAAGACAGAATCAAACTCACTCTCAAGCCCACAACATCCCCATTACCAATTTATCTTCACCATCCATACGTCTTATACCAAGGGCACATCTTCCCTCTAAACTGTCTCTAAAAAGCTTAAGAACTCAGAGGCTAAATATGGCCCCAAACTCAATACATAAAATAGAAGACCCCATGGTAATTGCTTCTTAAAACTAGAAGAGAGAAACAAAATGAGCACACAGTGAATCAGAGCAAAGATATGCAAACGCATTTTTATAAGTGACAAATGATTCCCAGGCTAGAAAGGCTTTGCTTGAATGTAATAACAAATCTCAAGAAAACAGATCCCTCAGAAGGAGATTGCGAGGTAGCAGCAAAGGTATAAGAGTCTGAGAAAAGTCATCAAAGCCCATCAAGCAGCCTCCAAGGACAGTCCTGGCTGGCTGGTCCAATCCTTAATAAAGGGAGATGCCCAAAACCTGTCAATGTCAAGAAGCCCAAAAGCCATGACGGGAAAGACCAATAGATTTGAGCACATACAAATTAAATTAAAGGATGCCTTAAAAAAGTCAAAAGGTGAATGAACACAGAAGAGGAGGAGATATTTGAACACATGTCAGAAAAAGCGTTAATATTACTACTACTATAAACATGCTCCCTCCCGCCAAAAAATGATCAAGGAAAAACAATCCAACAGAAAAAATGAACAGGAGAGGAAATGAATAGACAAATCATGGAACAGGAAATGCAAATATCTCAAAAACACACAGAAAAATTCTCAACTGCACCTGTAGTCAGGAAACATGCAAATCATAACAAAGTTGCACTGTTTCTACTGACCAAAGTGCCAAAAAAAACCCCAAAACCTAAAAATATCAGTATTAGAACTAATGAGGGTATAGGGAAACAGATACTGTCCCATGATTCTTGGGGATATGAAAATGCTACACAATCCTTGGAACATTATTTGGTCATGTACTGATTTAAAAATAAGTATGACCTCTGACCTCAAATCCCGCTTTGGAGAATTACATATTGAGGCATTTTAAGTGGCAAAAAACAGCCTCAACATTCATCAACAGAGGAATAATTGAATAAATTCTGGACCTCCATATAAATATTGTAGTTATTGAAAAGAACAAAAATAGCATTATTTGGAAGATAGCAAAAGGCAGTGGACTTGAGAGCCACATTGCCCTAGTTCAAATTGCTGCTCCCATTAACTGGGCAACCTTGGGCAAATTAGTCACATCTCAGTTGCTTGTCTATCCACTGGGGATCACAGTACCTACCTTGTATGGTAGTTGTGGGGTAAATGAGATAAAGCATAGGGCCTGGCATCCAGCAAATACTGGATATTCTGTTGGGGGAGCAGGGAAGAACTGTACAAATTGTATAGCATAGATATATTTTAGTTAAAAGTGTATATATGTTTTAAAGCACACTATGTATGTGTGTGTGGTGGTGAGAGGAAAGGAGAAGGTTTTAGCTCTTCCTCTGCATGTCTCTGTGTTGCAAGGAACATGTATTGCCTTTATAGGTTGGAAGACTAATCCTGTAACACTTTTTGAAAGTGGCCTACTGAGAGTGCTAGCAGGAGTGGAGGCTACGAAAGCATAATTAAAGATCGGGAAGTGAGTCTGGAAGCTGGGAAGTTTGGTGGGTCTGGAGCGCAGAGTGCGCTGTGGAGGCAGCAGGTATAGCAGGTATAAGGCTGGGGGTAGTAAAGGAAGGACTGCGTGTTCTCGGAGGAGGAGCGTGGACTTTCTCCAGATATTCATGGAAAGTTCTTTGGAAGAAAGGAATGCAAAGTATTGGCTGTACTAGGGCAGTCTGAAAGATGTACTCTGCCCCTTCACCAAAACAAAAACTTTCAGTAGCTCCCTCTCATAGGGATAAAGTCCAGACCTACTTAGTTTAGGTCTGTGAGTCTGATAGCCAGGCTTCTCATTCCACCTTTCCCCAACCTTACTGAACTACTTGTAGTTCTTAGAAGGTTCTGCTCTCTCCAGCTGACCTTTGCTCAGGCTGCAGCTTCTGCCAGCAGTGCCCCCCACACCTTTCCTTGTTCTGCCTGGCTAACTCTTCAGAGTTCAGCTCAAATAATCCTAACTCCTGGGAAGCTCACCTTGATCCCCCAAGGCTCAGTTTCCCTTCTAGGTCCTCCTACATCACCCTGGCATGAACCTAGAAAGAGAACTTTTGACATTGATCTGTAATTGTCAGTTTATTGTCTGCCTCTCCAACTAAACTGCTGGTGCTTAATAGTATTACTTGTTGATTCTTCAGTACCTAGCACAGAACACAAAACAAAGTCAGAAATCTATAAATATTTGTTAAATAAACAAATGTCTTGAAACATACAAGGCATCTTACTCTTTCCCCTTTTTTGTATTCCATGTTTTCCCAAAAAGTTTCTCACTTAATGCCCTATCCTATGTGTGCTAGCCCACAGGCAGAAAATCCACAACAGATCATATTACTACGAGTCTGGGTCCATGTGACAGCTATATTGCTCACTGAAAACTAATAAATTAGTATAGGGATTTTACAGTCTTATACTTTCATTAACGTAAGTTCTGCCCTGGAGGAAAAAACCTCCATGTGCTGGCAAAAGCTGACATCTGAGCATTTAAAACAAAAGGGCCACAACTCTGAACTATGGTAAATTACTAAGGTAAAGACCTCTTGGGAGGCCTTCTCTGGCTACATCTGGACCTTGAGTCATTCACTCATTCAAATATGTAATAAACCCCCACTAAATGGCAACCTTCATTCCAAGCACTGAGGATATAGCAGGGAACAAGACAGACGAGCCCTACCCACCATGGAGTCACATTCTAGTGGGGGTTAGCAGAGAGCCAAATAATAAACTGTGAAAAATAAGAGAGTTTCAGGCAGTACTAAATACTGTGAAAACAATTAAGCAGGATAGGAAATGATTAAAGTTGGGGAGAAGGGATGACAGCTCTTTAGATGTGTGGTCAGGATAAAAGGCTTCTCTGAGGGATGGACATTTGAGCTGCAACCTAAGTAATGAGAATGAATCAGCCATGAGAAAATCTGGGAGCAGAGAATTCCGGGCTGGAAAAAGAGCAAATGCAAAATCTCAAAGGTAGGAATGAGCTTGGTGCATTCAAAGAAAGATAGAAAACCAATTTGGCTAGAGCATAATGAACAAGGAATGTGAGTTAAGAGCAATCAGAGGGTAGATGTACAACAGATCATAAGGGCCATGATGAGGAGCTTGGATTTTATTCTAATTGCAAGGGAAAGGCATTAGGGAAGTATAGTTAGGGAAGTGATAGTCTGATTTATATTGTTAAATGGCTAATGATTGAGAATGAATTCTAGGAAGGCAAGAGTGGAAACCCAGGAGCCAGACAAGAGGCTATTGTCATGGTCTAAATGAGAGCTGCTGATGGCTTGTACCAGGATGGTAGCAGTAGACATAGTGAGAAGTGGTCCGTCAAATTTGGGATCATATTTTGGAGGTAGGATCAACAGGACTTGATCTTCGATTGGATGTTGCAGGCAAGAGAAAAAAGAAGAATCAAAGTTGTGATCTTTTGGTTCTTCTCATCAGGAATTCCTGCACCTGCTTGCCAATAAAAATTTATGTTCTGCCGGAGAACCTCCTTTCAGTAACCATAACAAAGTCAAAGCCAGTCAAAATTTCCGCTAGTGTATGACAATATTTGAATTATGCATGCCAATTTATGACAGAGGGTTCAAGAACAGTTTATTCTTCATTAAACTGAAGCTTTAAGCTCCTGAGTTTTTTTTTTGTAATCTAAAAAGCAGCTCATTTTCTAAAGACCCAAGTTGCTTACAAAACAAAGATTCGTGCTTTATAATCTTATTGTCTCATATGAGGGCCATATTTTATATCATTGTTTTATGAATGTTAAAAGGCTTAGCAGGCCAAGTAACTTACAGTACAGGAAGAAACAGAATGGCACGCCTGATCTCCTTACAATCAACCCCTAATGTATTCATTCACCTTCTATGAAACTCTGGCAACAATGTGTCTTGAAGAACTAGCTGTTTAAGGCTACAGAGCAATTCTCTTTCTCCTGAACTTAACTATTCTGATGTTTCATATATTGCCCAGTAACAGTCCTTTAGAAAATAACATTTTGAAAACAAACAACACTCATTAGTATGTACAAATCTATGAAATATACACAAAATATTATTAGAAAAATAACAGGTAGGATTGAATGTAATTTCATAGCTAAAAAAACATAGGAAAATTCACAGTAGTATTTGTGGTGTTAATATGCACAGCACTGTTAAGGACTGAGAACGTTTAGGGGACTCAGTAAACCACATCCCTCTTCCTACCAAGTTGTGAGCCAACTGAAAAACAGGAAAAAGAGTAGACAGCTGAGAACTGTCGCTCTTCCTGATAAAGCTGACGCTGGAGGCGAGATGGCGCCAGTGGGCCTCCCAACACTGAACCCTAGGACAAGGCAGACTTACCACTGGGTTGCTGACTGGCAGAACGGGATTACAGAAACTCTCCACTCCACCTACTCCAAAGACTTGTCCCTGTAAATTCTGCAGCATAAAGGAATAGACTAGAAGTCATGATTCCTGATGGCAGCCTGGCCCCAAGGGTAAGACTTGCCAAAGGGCTGAGCTTTCTCATGCAGCTTCTCACTATGTAGTATCTTACTCAATGGGGAAGAGGAAAGGCTGGCCCAAGACGCCAGGAATGTTAATAAAACCCCCTGCAACTTACACCACATTCCCCACATAATTTTATTCTCTTAACCTAGTAATCTCCAAACAGGAATAAATCTACCCTGGGATTCTACTTTCCAAGAGGAATACAAGCACAGATAATTTTAAGGAAATCAATTCCATTTATTCAACTTTCACCTACTCCTTCCTAAAGTTGAGCTGTCTAAAATATGACTGAGGTTGAGATTTCACAACAATTCAATTTTTCCAATTCTATTTTAAAATCAGTCTTTTCTCACTTATAAAAGACAGGCATCCTCTCACCCATCCCAGATATTACTATGACAATTTGCTCCCATGTGCAAAAAGCCTCTAAGGCACCGTACAAAGGAACAATTCTAAATATTGATGTCAATATTTAATTTAATCAATGCATTATAAGTAGCAGGAGGATTTCCTGGCTTTCCTTATCTTAAATATATTTCTATTAAGAGAAAAGCATGGTGCTAGAAATTGGGTATTTTGGTCTGTGCGGGAATGTTCTGAGTTCAGATAATTGTAGAGCAGGGTGGCAAGAGTTACGATCATTTTTGTCTAATGCCATTTCCTCTTCCATTTCCTGATGGTGTCAAACAATACTGTTGAGATAGCAAAAAGAAATACTGAAGGAGGTTGAGCCCTATTTCATGTGGGCAACAAACCCACAGCAAAGTTTCATGCTCCAGATATCTCTCTCAGAATTCAAAAATGGAATATATGTAGAAAACATTCTGGGAAATACCAGTTACAAGGCACATCTGCTCAGTTATGAGAGAGAACTTGGTGCCATCCTCCTGTGTCTCAACTGCATATTTCAGATGATTTCAAGGAAAAGGATGTTAAAAAAATTCCAAATTTCCTTCTAATAGATCATCATTACATTACATGTAAAAGGAACATATATCACAGATACATTAATGTTTTGTAGTTCTTTTTGAACAATTATTCAGACTCATGGGAGAAAATATTTTCACTAGTTTTTACCTGAAGATTATTGAATATAGTAAGTCTATACTTGTTTTCTTACCCAAACACTTCTGCTTATTATTTGTTAACCACTTCTCACCTCATTATTCATTCCTATCTTTTATGTAATAAACTTAGATTTAGATATATAATTTTCTATTGTAAATAATGCATTGAACATCATTTATTCATCTTTTGTAAGCCCTGCACCTAACAGTCCCCCAACTTGTTTTCTTATTGTGTCCTAGCAGGAAATTACATTCATGAACTAACTGGAGAGGAGGAGCTTCACCCATTTCATTAAGAGACATATTTCCAGGAAAATTTTAGTTCTCTTTAGTAATTATTTGGAAAAATTTGTAATGTACTTAAGATTAATTATGTATTACTACTAATAATTGTAAAAATAACTCAATCCAAAAGAAATTTTTGGCATTTAGAACCTTTTGGTGGTAGAAATTTTTTTAAATTATAAACAATTTTTTGACTGCCACAAAGACTGATAGGGTAAGCAATAAAATACATTTGAGCATAAAATATATTTTTAAGACTTCTGTGGGGAAGTAGAATAAAAACAAATTCAAAGAGAAAAAAAGAGTAATGTAAAATTTCTGTAAATATGGATGATGGTGAGTATTCAATTTCTATGGGATTTAATTTCACTAAATGCATTTTTAAGTGCTATAACCCTTTATACTTTAAAATATTCATATTTAGATTACACCAGAAATTACATCTTTTGCAACTAAGGACAAAAAATTTTACATGTGAACCTAAAAATTATTTTGGGTGGTATGTCAGTAAAAATGTATGAAGACCATTGCTTTGACCCTTTCAGCTTACCCACTGAGATCACCTTAGGACATGGTTATCCCCCTTGGCTAAGAAGTCAGCAGTCAGTTAGTGTAGTCCTGCTCCCATCTTCATAAGGCCACTTCAATACTGATTTCAGCTCTTTTGTGGAATCTCGTGGGGCCACTGGTAAAGGGTAGGTGTTGTTCCCAGAATGCCCTGAATGGGTCAGAACAATACATCAATTAAATCAGCTCCCATGCTATTCTGTACGCAAGGCTATAATTCACAACCTGTTCTATTGCCACCTCAAATTATGTCTCACTACCTTGTTCAACATTACCAGAAGTTCTAAAAGAAGATCAAATGATAACATAAAAATACTCTAAAAACTAAAAGCCAAAAAGACATCCTCAATCTGATTATGACCCCTTTCCAATATGAATTTTCCAGCAAGAAATGAAAAGTTCAGACATTACATTATCTTATTCTTCTGAATTACAGCCCAAAGTAATCAGTACCGACTTCATGTTAAAGTCCAAAATTATTAACTTCCAACTTGTTAACACTCTTGCGCTTGTGGATTAAAGTTCAAACAACAGGTTTTTTCACTCCATGGCAGTGAGTTTAGCTCCCAAGCCTGAAGCTCCCCTTCCCCCAGAGCGCCTATCCTGTTAAGCTTACCCCAAGCCTCCCTTGTCCTGGGCAAGCCTCCCTTGTCCTGGGCAGGCCCCCCTGGCATGGGCAGACACCTGTGAAACTTGTGGTATGAAGCAGCAGAGTAGAAAGCATACTTTCTGTGGGCGGCCTGGCTCTCATGAGAAAGGAGAGAGGAAGAAGGTGGGCTGCACACGCCAAACTTACACATCAGGAAACTTGTTAGAAGCGCTGGAATGAGGTATCGAGTGTTATGTTAGTGGCACCCCCTCCATACTTTAAGAAACATCTGATGTGGGAAAGAAGTGTTTTCCCCTAAAATAGAGAAATAGAACAGAATTACAAGAAACAGTCTATCTTATTTAAGAAATATTTATTGAGCTCAAATTTCTAAGCTACATTTGCTGAGAGATTCCTAAGTGAATCAGAGCTGGATGCTGCCTAACAACCAACCACTAACATTTGTAACATAGTCATATATGTCAATGCCATATATTTTAGGTTTCTGTTACAGCAGTGCCCTACTTCCAGTACCAATTTTTGTATTACTATCGATCAGGCTTTATTTGCTACCAAACAACCACAAATATCTCAGTGACTTAGAACAGCAGAAACGTATTTCTCACTCATACAACCATGTGTATTAGCTAAGGACTCTTTTCCACTTTGTACTGACCCTAGGACCCTGGCTGATGGAAGCAGCCACCATGTGGAACATTGTTGGGGTGGTAGATTAAATAAGGCCATAAGTTCTTTGTCACTCTTCCCCCCAATCCCCATCAAGAGGTTGAGTTTATTTACCCTCCCCTTGAAACTGAGTTGCCCATGTGACTGCTTTAACCAATAGAATGTGTTATTTCCAAGCCTAAGTCTTACAAACACCTGGAAGCTTTTGCTTTTTGAAGAGTCCTGAGCCACCATGTAAGAAGTCAGGCTACTCTGCAGGAGAAGCCATTTAAACTAAGGCCCTGCAATAACACTGGAAAAAGAAAGGCTCAGCCATTCTAGCATCCCCATCGAGCCTCCAGATTACTCCAGTCCAACAATACCTGGCTGGAACCACATGAGAGACACCAAGCAAGATTAGACAACTGCCCATGAGCCCATTCAACCCACAAAACCATTGATGATAATAAAATGTTACGGTTTTAAGTCACTAAGATTTGGGATAGTTTGTTATGCAGCAATAGGTAACTAAAACTTTCCGTCACTGTGCCAGAAGGAAAGAGCATGAGAAACTGTGCATGGGTTCTTAAAGCTTTTGCTCGCAAGTGACACAGATCACTTCAATCACACTTCAATGGCCATGCTGAGTTGAAAGGAGGGAAATGCAAGTTGGCTACGTGAGAAAAGAAATGGAAAAGAGGGCTTCCCTGGTGGTGCAGTGGTTAAGAATCCGCCTGCCAATGTAGGGGACACGGGTTTGAGCCCTGGTCCGGGAAGATCCCACATGCTGCGGAGCAACTAAGCCCGTGCGCCACAACTACTGAGCCTGGGCTCTAGAGCCTGCGAGCCACAAGTGCTGAAGCCTGTGTGCCTAGAGCCCGTGCTCCACAACAAAAGAAGCCACCGTAGGGACTTTCCTGGTGGCACAGTGGTTAGGAATCTGCCTGCCAAGGCAGGGGACACGGGTTTGAGCCCTGGTCTGGGAAGATTCCACATGCCACAGAGCAACTAAGCCCCCACACACCACAACTACTGAGCCTACGCTCTAGAGCCCGTGCTCTGCAATGAGAAGCCACCGTAATGAGAAGTCCGCGCACTGCAATGAAGAGTAGCCCCTGCTCGCTGAAACTAGAGAAAGCCTGCATGCAGCAACGAAGACCCCACGCAGCCAAAAATAAATAAATAAAATAAATAAATTTATTAAAAAAAGAAAAGAAATGGAAAAATTTGTTGGGTAGTATGGATACCTCCAGAGAGGGGTCAGGCCTAGAGAGGTACATCTTCCATAGAGATGACAAGTCAATCAGTAAGCAGCGGATTACACTTGTAAGGGAAAGGCAGGGAAGTCATCTGTGGATTTATGGAGGCCTTTGAGTGCCAACTGAGTTTCTGAGATAGCTGAGGACCATTGGAGATAGGTATCTGAGTAAAGGAAATCAGTATACAGGACTAGTCCCTTCATGTAGTAATGAAGGAGGGAAAGACAGAGCAGGCCACCAGTCTGAAAGTTACTACAGTATTCAAAAAAAGAGTATCCTACTGGGAGAGATTTTTCCTGTGGGGAGTGTGGGGGCTTCAAGTGTGAAGTTGAGATGCTTATTTTATCAAGGATATAAAAGAAAATGTTTACTGGGTCCGTGAGCCATGGCCGCTGAGCCTGCACGTCCGGAGCCTGTGCTCCACAGTGGGAGAGGCCACAACAGTGAGAGTCCCGCGTACTGCAAAAAAAAAAAAAAAAAAGAAAGAAAATGTTTAATTCTCATGGCAGAATGTTAATTACCTACCCACCATTTCCCACCCTACTCCCCTGACAACAGAACTTCAATACTGCTTAGTTCCTCTCTTCCCTATACTATACACACATAATTCAGTACCAAGGTAAATCCCAACTGGTCTAAGCCAGTGGTTCTTAACCAGCACCATTTCTCTAGGGAGTGTGTGTGGGATGGAGGGGAAGAGGGTTTTTTTTTTTTTTTTTCTTTTTTTGGTGTCACACTGCCTTGGGTTGCTATTTAGTAGGAAGGCACCAGAGATGCTAAATGACCAGCAACGCATGCCACAGTCCTGTATAATAACTGTCAAAAGCCAGATAAACACTAACCAATTATGGTAATCCCATGCTCCTTGTCAGTCACTATTTTAGGGACTAGCTAGCAACCCAATTCTGGTAAATAAGATATAAGGAGTGGCCAGCTATGAAGCCTCTGGGGTGGTTTCTTCCTGCCTATCGATGTTGTCCCAACCATATGACACCTGGGACTGCTACAGCCATCTTTTCCCTAAAACCAGTGTCTTCCCAAGCTCCCTGTTTCCATTATTGCCACTTCTATTTCCTTTTACCAGGTCCTGAAGCAATTTTGACTTCTCTTAACCATTAACCTTAGGATGACAACATGAGGTTGGCTTAGGACAGTCTAATTTTACTCCTATTCTCCCAGTGTAATTAACAGTGCCCCCTTTAACTTCGGAGAGTATTCTAGATTGGAGGAGTACAGACTATACATGGTCATTACCCCCAATTAAATCTTGTTCACTCTGCCTCAAGAAAATACCTCTAAAGCAGGGGTCAGCAAACTATGGCCTATAGGCTGTTTTTGTACCTCTGGAAAGTGAAAAAAAAAAAAAAAGTTTTTTACATGTTTAAATGATTGAAAAAAAGTTAACGGGACTTCCCTGGTGGTCCAGTGGTTAAGACTCCACACTACCAATGCAGGGAGCATGAGTTCAACCCCTGGTTGGGGAACTAAGATCCTGCATGCTGGGCAGCACAGCCAAAATAAAATTTTTTTAAAAAGTTAAAAGAATATTTCATGATATCTAAAATTATATCAAATTAAAATTTCAGTGTCCAAAAATAAAGTTTTATTGGAACACAGCCAAGCTCATTCCTTTAAGTATTGTCTATGGCTGCTTTCTCACTACAAGACAGAGTTGAGTAATTATGATAGAGAACACTTAAAATATTAATGTTTGGCCCTTTGAAGAAAAGCTTGCAGACCCCTGCTCTAATGCTGTCATTAGTCCTGCGTTCCCTCACTTCCCTTACTCCTTGCACCAATACGGTAGCCTACTTAACTGGTTTCCCATTCTTTTCCCCACTCCAATCTTTCATACCAATCCTAGTAGAGAACTCTACAGAAGAGTTTTGATCCTGTCACTTGCCTCTTCCATATCTTCAGTCTCCTCCAAAACCGGCAATATGAAGTCCAAGCCTAAACCTCGATACTTAAGACTCCAACCTCAAGTCTTCCAGACTGTTCCTCTTCACTACTTAAAGCCAAAATGGACCACTTGCTGTTTCCCTAATTAGCATACCATACGCCCCCACTGCTTGCCCACGTCTCTCCTCCATCCCATCAGTTCCTCAAGATAAAACGAAAACTGGGGGGGG